ACTGCACAGGGTTGATTTTTATGCCAGGCTATTTCATGATCCGTGTCCAGATGAAGTTCCCTGGGTTATTTTAGGAGTTATAGGGGGCTTATAGAGAAGATGGGAACAGGCTTTTCAGTAGGGCCTGGAGCAATGGGACAAGGGACAATGGTTTTAAATTAAAAGAGGGTAGATTCAGAGCAGATACAGGAAATAAATATTGTAAACTGTGCGTGATGAAACTGGCACAGGTTACCCAGAGAAGTGGTGGATGCCCCATCCCTGGGAAGGGGCTCTGAGCAGCCTGAGGATGTCTCTGCTCATTGCAGGGGGGTTTCACTTGATGCCTTCAGTTTCAGCTTTCCTATTTGCAGCCCCTGCACTGCATTGCTGTGTGAGCTGAACTCCACACAAAGTGTTCAAGTTCTCCTCACAGCTCAGGCACACACAACAATCCTTCTCCAGCCCCACAACCAAGGACACCGTGGCAGCTCCGGGCCCAAAAAGCACAAGCAGCAGCGAATTGAGGAGAGCAATCTGGGAGGATGGGACTGCATCACCTGCAGCTGCAATTGGGCAATTAACCCCAATGTGGAAATGGAGCAGAACCTATCAAAGTGTGAAACTCCTGAGCCAGGGCCCATCTTGGGTCCATCTTGGGTGGATCCTCAGCCAGGCTCTTGCGCTGCCCAAGCTGCATCCTTTGAAACTCTCTTTAATAAATCCCCACTTTATTCCTTTAACTCTGTCCAGCCCCTGTTCCAGGGAGCCTCTCACCCCACTGAGCTCTGAAGCTCCTTTCCAACACAAAGTATTCCATGATTCTACCATTTAACCAACCCCAACAATAAATCTACACGAATAAAGCACAGCTTTATTTACGATTTCATTCATGGAGCAGGTCCTGAAGCCACCACTCATTTTTCCTGCAGGTGCTGGGTCCCAGGGAGCTCTGGCATTCCCAGTTTGGGGTGGCACAGACCCCAAACACGGCATTCCTAAAGCCTGGGAGCAGCTTTCCATCCTCCCAGCTCACAACACCCTGTTGTGTCTCCTTCCGAGCCTTTGGAATTTTGTGTTCCAGCCGAGTTTTCCTTTCAATTCCCAGAGCTTGGGAGCCGCCTAGTGGAATCCTCTGATGAGTCCCAAAATTCTGCCAATCCTTATCCCTGGCTGATCCCACTCCCAGCCCTGTTTTTACATAAGGACCTCTCTTGGACTTCCTGTGTTTGTCTTTTTTTTTTACAAGAAATGGGGCTCGCTTTCTAAGGGATAAAACTGAAGGGAAAACAAACCCCAAAAAAGTAAATAGAAATAAAAATAAAAATAAAAATAAATAATAAAAAAGGCAGAACTGGAATTAAGTGTTGATTTCCCTCTGTGACAAAGATCTTTTCTACCCTCCCAGGCCTCAGCATTAGACCGGTAGTAACAAGGAACTTGGTTCTGCAGACCCAAATCTTAGCAAAATTAGAAAATACAGAGGTAGACCGTGACACTCTCTATAATATTCATCTAAAGCATCAGGCTGATTCACCAGCATCAAAACCTACCAAAACAGGCAGCTGCAAACTAAACAAAATTGCAATCACAAACAAAACCCCACATGGGCACACAAGCACTGGGGTACCACTGATGCATCAGGCTCAGCAGCAATTCTCCTGATGCAGGTGGGCACAAAATCACTAGAAAGCTCTGAATCAGACTCTGATTTTGCCTTTTCATCTATTATTGCTTTGCATGCTGAGGTTAATTAGAGATGAGAAACATAATTAACCTTGTTTTAAGCCAGTGTGTAGTTTGGGAGTAAAATCAGGAGTATCTGTGGCATGCTTGGATCTGAGTGATGGCACTGGGGACTTCCCTCTTGTTTCCAGGGCTGTAATAACACAGGGCACAGCTTTAGGAGAGCATCCATGGCTCAGGAAAAGACAAGGAGAAAGGATGAGGGAGCCTGGGAGTCAGGAGTGCTCCCAAAGCTCAAAAAGAAAAGTTTTGTGATTCCTGGGAGGAGCTGAGACACCAGAGCGGGACCAGGGGAAAAAGAACCTGATTTATTGTGGCATTTCTCTAGTGTTACCACCTGAAATGACAGAAAGAAACTGACTTATGAAAAAAAAAACCAACAAAAACAACAAAACACAGAATGCAATCATAGGAGTCAAATAATATCTTAAGGAAATGTCATTTCCCCCCCCCCCCAAATCAAGTACATGCTCTGAACTGATTTCAACATTGCTTTTAAAACACAAAAAGCTCCATCCAGCATCTGAAATCAAAACCACAAACACAGATGGAGAGGAAAATGCCTACTTTTCATTTGAAAATATCTAACAGCTGTCAAAACAGACACCAAATGGTAAAAATGTGGAATAAATGCAGCAAAGAAGCAGCATTGACAAGCAAAGGATAACATTTCAGCTGGAGACAGAACAAGAACAGTGAAAAGGCATATGCACCTACATCTATACACTTATTTCCTCTTAGAGGTTTGAGAATTCTTTTTAGAGATTTCCAATTCAAGGGAGCATTGGTCATGACAAAAAAAGAGTTCCTTGAGTTAAAAGCAAACTTTTTGCTCTGTTAGAGTGTAATATCCTGTGCACTGAGACCAATGTCTTGCCAGGCATGCCAAACAATCCTGCTTTAAATCACCATCAGACATGTGTATATTTATTTGTTTCTTTGTTTGTTTGCTTGTTATACAGATAATATGTAGCTGGAAAGAAAAAAAACAAAACAAAACAACATTTCTGTATATATCTAGGCTGAACAGAAGATGAAAACAACAACCAAAGCAAAAGAAATGTAAAAAAAAGTGAAGACTTAAGCAGATCTGTAGCCTGCCTTTCCAAAGCTGTGCATGGGACCTGTTGGAGTCTGAAACACAGAGTGTGTGCCCTTTGTGGCTCACTTTGCCTTTGAAGGCACAAAATGGCCCTGAACTACTCAGTTCTTTTATCTTTACACTTCTCCAATTAACAATAGACATGTAAATTCTTTTTCTTAATGACCCAATGACCCATCACCTGTGAGCTGCACTGTGGCATTTTCTATCCAATCATTTACTGTTACCCAAAAACCTCTAGAAGAACATGAAGAAGAAGGAAGAAGGAAAAGAAACAACACTCTAAACTCTCCATCTTCTCTTTTCTAAACTATTTTAAACTCCAAACTTTAACTTTTTCACCCAGTGACTTAAGAGAACTCTCTAATCCACACACTCACACTTGTAGCTTTTCTATCCAACTTTAACAGTTGTTTTCATGTATCACCACGAAAACATGCCCATAAATTTCATGTTGTATGAAATTCAGTGTTCTCCTGGATCAGAGACAAGGGCACACACTCTGTGTCTCAGACTCCAACAGGGACCTGGACCATGTTTGCCCTTTCCCACAAGATCACAGTTTAACAAGCATGGAAATGCCTCAGTTGTAGAAATCCTTGGAAGCTTCTGGTTTTCTGTGCTGATTCTAAGCTGTGGGTGATTCTGAGAAATGATTCTAAGAAATGATTGAGCAGCTCCACAGAATCCAGCTCCATGTGCAGAATTGTACCAGCTTATCCAGCAGCTTTTTTTACCTTTCAGCTTATTTTACCTTTCAGATCATTTTCCCTGTCTTAAGATAAAGGAAAGAAATTATTTATCTATATCTTGGCCTCTAGTTATGCGTTCTTGAAAGGAGGTTTGGAATTTGAATTCCAAATTCTCGTCTCCCAGTCATTACCTGTGGCAGGCACAGGACTCAGAGAACAACTCTGAAGGATTCCAGGTTCACCTCAGAGGTTAGAAAAAGGAATTTTTTTCCTTATGTTGATCTTCCCTGTTGTTGTGCCTGATTATTCTGTGGAAAAGAAGACAGCATGTGATGTCAAGCTGTTCCACAGGACAGAACCAAGGAAACACAGACTTGCCAAGGTGTCTGCTCTCAGTGTGAGCTCTCTGTCCCCTCGAGCAGGAGCTCTGGAATAATCTCACAGGACTGAAAAATCAAGTATTAAACTCTCTGTGCACCACTGACTGTGCCTGTAAGTAGGAGCTGGCAAACTGTGTGCCCCTCTTAGGGTTAAGCAATACTAAAATACAGAATCAAAAAAACAAATTTCACTTGGGTGAAATCTGCTTGCAAAGCACACACAGCTACAGTGCAAAAATCAAACACAGGGAGGAAAAAATCAGCTGTGACACAGGCACACTCCTGAATTCTGCAATCAGTCACATGCTTGCACACGAGGCAGTCAGAAAGAAAAAGAAAGCTTGGTAAATGTGAGGAGGAAAAAGAAAAAAAAAAAAAACTAGAAAAAGAAAAATTGGGGAGGGAAAGGGGAAGAGAAGAGGTGGAGAATTCTGAGAAACAGCTTGGCTTCAGATACAAAGGGAGCTTTCTAAGCTCCTGACACGTGGTTTTCCAGCAAATAGAGTGTTAGCATGGCCATGGGTTTTTCCAAACAAGGCATTCAGTCAGGAAAATGATGACATCAAATAATGATGCAATAACGAGGCAAATTGCTTCAAATGCATTAGGCTCATGGAAGTTAATTATAATTAATTTTGAAGTCAGACTAAGTAGAATTATTGTTTCAAAAGAAGGTGTTTGTCATGGACCCCACTAAACAGACACAGAGCTGTGTTAAGGGTATGGATTTAAGCTGGAAAAGCACTGCCAAGGGAAAAAAAAAGTAGAAGGAACCTTTTTTAAAAAATAAATTATTTTAAAAGTAATTTTACCTCTGTTTTGCAGCCCTAAACAGGGTGAACAGTGGAAGTGAAACCAATTTCTTCAGCTGGTTTTACAGCCACAGCCACTGAGCACCAGAGCTCCCTGTGAAGGGCTGGCTCCACGGGCTGGGAGTCCACTCTGACTTGCACACAGGAAAGCAGATGGGAGGAGAAAGGAGGGGAAAATAAATTACTTTTATTTGTATTTATTAAATTTGGCCTACAGGCTCGATGTGACTCAGTGCTGAACATCTGGGACCGATCACAGGATCACAAACTGAGCAGGAGTCATCTGGCTCCTCAGAAATAAACACATCCAGTCCCTCTGCCACAACGTTACTTCCTTATTGATAAAATGCAACAGCCATTTTAAGTCCTTTTAATCTCTCCAGCCACAGTTTTTTTTAACTTCTTGGAGGTTTTTAGCATTGTTTTTTTCACTTCAGATGATGGCAAATTGCGTTTGACCTTGGACTGGCGGCGTTTGGGATTGCCCACAGAACCAATTCACCGCTTTCCTCCAGAATTCCCTGGCACAATGGTGGCCTTGCAAGTGCATTTTTGGCTGATTGCATCCCTGGTGAGCAGCGTGGCAGCAGCACAGTCCCTGCTGCAGGATGCAGCCCTGCTGAGCTACATTGACCAGCGTTTTCTGGCTCTGGAGGTACGTGCCTGATGAACCCTTCTGCGGCTAAAGAGGTTTGGAAATGTGTGGATGTTCCCAGCCCAGGGCAGTCTGGACCATGCACCAAATCAGGAGGGTGAATTTCCAGCTTTTCACTCATGAATGAGTAAAAAAAAATCCTTGCTAAAACTTTAACTGCAAAGTTCCCAACTCACCCCATCGTTTTTTGCAGGATATAATTTCATAATATTATTTTTCTATTCTGTTATCATTTGTATTTTTTTTTTTTTTTTCTATTACACCGGTGAATTTAGCTTAAAATTCAAATGTTTATGTAGTAGTGTCACAGGCCACCCTAGGGAGCACTACAAACATATTGTCACATATTCAGGTGTTTATTAACAAGGAGATGGAAATGTAGCAGATATTTTTCCTATCTGCAGGTATCCCTGCCTGGAAGGGTAGTTTAAGACACATTCTTGCAAGCCAGAAGTGTATCTGCACCTTAAATAAACCTTTAATATCTGGGAGACTGAAATGCAGTCCTTTCAATTCCCTGAATTCCTTTCAATTTCTTATATAAATGCCCCACTTCTTGCTTCTTCCTCTGCAGTAAAAAGCTACCAGTACTGCAGAACACAAAATATTGGTGTGCTATAACCATATATTGCTTATTTGAAATTATTGACGTGTCCCTGGCTCCTGGCTTGCGCTGGCAGACTTAGAGAGGAGCTCGACTTGCCTGATTTCACCTCCCTTTTTGTACAAAGCCCTCATTAGTCTTATCTTCTCAGCACAGAAGGAGCAGAAGGATTAACCTGATATTCTCTTCCCATTGTGCAGACAGAGATTTACATTTTCTTTGCCACTCCAGGAGAAACTTCACCTGGCAACTTCTATTCCACTAAAAAATGGGGGAACCCATTTGGTGTAAGGGCCACAAAAGGAACAGGACAAAGAGTGAGGCAGATGCTGAAGACAGCACCTGAAATCATTTAAAATGAAAGTTTTGTAGGAAGTCATTTAGCAGCTTCCTGGGGATTTATGGCCTTGTGTGAATGCGGCAGAGAGGAGGTGGAAACCACAAAGAAGGCACAGCTCACAGAGCAAACCAAAGATCTGCTCAGGTTTCTCATCTTCCCAAAGTGCCAGCTGGGCTACTCTTTTCAGGACACCTCTGAAGCAGCTGAGTTGCAGCAGAGAAACCACATTATTTACCTTTGAAAACACTGATAATATGAATTTAGGTGTAAAGAAATAGTTCTTTGGCTTTCTTTGTTTGTTTTGTTGCTGTTGTTTGGTTTTGTTGTTGTTGTTTTGCATTTTTTTTTTAACACAGCCAATAATTTTATTTTTTTTTTTAAAAAAAAAAGAAACAACACAAAACTACCTCAAACATAGAATTTTGGTATTTTCATTTTCACCTTTCAGTGGGTGAAAAATTGCCACACTAGATTCTGCCTCTGTCACGAGAGGTGTGTTCATGTGAAGTGTTCATGGCTATAATTTCCTGCAGAAAACCCTTTGAGAGTGCTTCAGCAGTGCTCCCACAGGAGGAGTTCCTGAAAGTTTTTTGGGAAGCAAAAGTCATCAGAGATCATGAGCCTTTAATTATCCCTGGCTGCTTCCATCAGAGCACTTTTCTTTAGGCAGCAAAACGAAGTATCTGGCTGTCAGTAACCATGTTGAGGTTAAAAATGTGGATTTTTGTCCAGATTCTAGGATTTTGCAGCAGTTTGAGATGTTCTGCTGGCACAGACACCCAGCCAGGACTGGGGTTGGGGTGGGTGGGTGCAGGGGCACTGGGAGGGAGCAGCACGGGGTTTAAAGTACGAGTGAGGCTGTGATGTACGCGGAATATCCACGTCTATCCGCGTGTTCTTCCCGTGTTCCCACTCAAGAGGAGGCTGGAGAAATGCAACCAAGACCTGCTGGAGTACGTGGAGGAATTCAGAGAGTTCTCCAAGGCGCTGCTGTCCCGCCTGGCAGCGCTGAAGGCTGGCAAGGCTGAGCTCGGGGGGCAAGTGGAGACTCTGCTGTCCAGGGTGGAGAGGGCACAGAGGGACATCGACTACCTGGGATCTGCCGCGGCTTCCAACGCCTGCCTGGAGGTGCACCAGGACCTGCTGGAACAGCAGCTGCTGGAAGAGGCAGAGGAGAAAAAGAGGATCAAACTCATGCTTAACGCAAGTAAGAGTGTCTTGATGGGACATTGGTGGCTGGGACAGAGATTGATGAGAGAGAGGCATTTTGCTCTTGCTCAGACTTGGTTGTTTATTCTTTAATCTGTGTTACATATATACAGGATACAAGGAGCTGAGTGCACTAATACAGAAAGGTGCAAAATGGCCAACAAAGATCTTCTTCAAGGTCTTTTATATGTCTATTTATATATATTTATATATATTTATATGTCTATATATTTACCCAATTAACAAATGCCCAGTAAATTATTTTTATTATAATTTTCTAATTGTGATACATCATAATATATAAAACATTAATATATATCATAATTACTTATATTATATGTACAGTGTATAATAATACTAATTATTAATAAATATATCTAAAATATATATAAAAATATAAATAAATAAATAAATAAATAAATTTAAATATATATTATAAAATATATAAATCTATTACTAATTATATAATTATATATTTTATATATTATATATAATATATATAATATATTATGTATAGAATATTGTAAAATAATTTATTATATATAATATATAATATATTATATATTATATATTATATATTATATATTATATATAATGTAATATATTAATATATTCTTATATTACTAATAATTATTGAAATAATTAATTTATAATATGAGTTGTAGTATTATAATTGATTTTATTATAATATTAATAAAAAGAATGTATAATACATATTATATATTCGTATATATAATAATTATTTCCAATTATTTTCCCAATAACCCAACACCTGTGAGCTGCACTGCAGCACTTTTTATCCAATCACTCATTGCTACCCAAAAACCCTCAGAAGAAGAGGAAGAAGGAAAGAGACAACACCCTAAATCCTCCATCTTCTCTTCTGTTCTCTAAACTGGTTTAAACCCCAAACTTTAACTTTTTCACTCAGTGACTTAAGAAAACTCTCTAATTTACACACTCACACTTCTAGATTTCTATTTAACAGTTGTTTTCAGGATGTTGTATGAAATTCAGTGTTTTTTTGGATGTCAGAGCCAGCTATCAGAGATAAAGGCACACACTCTGTGCCTCTGACTCCAACATAAAATCAGTTTATTTCTTGGCTCTGAGCCATCCCACGTGTCCATGCTGACACAGGGAGAACAGATTTTGGTTACAGATTATTGCAAGGGGCTCTGGGCCGTGTAAATAGACTTATAAAACCCATGTATATGCAAAAATAATGTATGGGAGAAGGAAGGAGGAAAACACAGTTCAAATATTTACTTTGCAGGAATTCTACTGTGTATCAAATTAATTCTCCAGAAGTTACTTTTTGTTATAAAATAAGGTAAAATCCTCTGAAGGTGTGCTCTTGTAGAGCCCCAGAAAAACCCATTTCTGAGTACTGCAGCTGTACTAAGGAATTAATGGTGGTCTTTGCTTTTTGGACTAAGCAGGGCCAAAAACCTCAACTCAAAAGTAAATTTTTTACTTTTTAATTAATTTTTTAATTAAAAAAATCACTTTAGTTTGAAAATGAGGTGTTATGGTAGCCAGCATGAAGAATATATGCACAATCTATAGTTTTTATTTTTTTAAACAAATGACATTTTGTACTTATCTTCACCTTAAAAGGTTGTGGTACAGGCATATTTAATTTAATAGGTATTATAGGCATATTTAAAGCAGTCTGTTTTCATAGTAGTAAGAAATGAAGAGCAAACAATAAGAAATACAAACTGTAATTTTTTAAAAGTCCGTGAGAGAACTTTAGCATCATCAATTACACAGTTCCACTGACTTCAGCAGAATTAGGCTGATTTAATTTTACACATAAGATTCCAATTTCTTCCTCGAACTTTTCAAGGCAGATGCTTACAGAAGCAATCACCTATTCTGCTCCTGAGCTCTCCTCACACTCCACAATTCAGTGCTCTGAATATCAATAGTTTCTGTTTTCCATTTAGAGAACTTTTGAGCATTTTAGGCATTTTTTTCAGGGAGGAAAAAAAAAACTGGGGATTTTTAAATTGACTGTGTGTGGTTAGGGCACTTTGAAAATTGTATCTTTCTGAGACTTTCAGCTGGGAAAAATTACTTTCCACTTTCCTTAGTTGGAAATTATTACTTTTAACTTTATTGTAGCAGCTCATAGCAACTTTATTTTCAATTTGTTCTCTACTGTCGGTACTAGTCAGATGCTTTTCCCATTGAATTTGATGGCAAAAGTATTCCCTCTGCAGGTTTTTCAGCACTTAGAAAAAATTGGAAGATCCTCAGCTCTAGAAAACAGAAGCAGCTCTGCTTCTATGCTGTTCATATCTTAAACAGACTCTGTGATTATTTTTGCTGAGCCACTTCACAAATCTAGCAGAAAAGAGTTAAGTCCAGCTTTGTTACTGGGCTTGGATCAAGTTTGCACAGAGAATAACAATCAGACAAAAATCTGGTTATTTCCCCTGCAGAGGAAGATGCTGCTAAGGCTGCCTGGGCTTTTTGATTCAGAAGCTTTAATTCCTTTTTTTTTTTAATCTATCTAACCAATAAATGTTAGATTTGAGAAAGCTCTTGTGGCTTGCTCAGGGAAGGCAGAGTGAGGACTCCCAGGGAAAAAAACCCACTCTGTAGCAGCAATCTCCAAAAGCTTTGATTAGAGGGTATCAGTGCCCACAAATGACATAAAAATTGCTTTCTACAGGCAGCTGCACTCTTGCCACTGGCTTCAACAGGTTCATATCAGGCCAAATAAGGGGGCTGCTTTTGCTTTCTCCATTTCATCTGCTGCCAGAACTTCCTGCCTCAGAGCTTTGTTTGTCCTGTTTACTGAGATGGCTGCACTCCACTGAAAGCAATTCTTCAAACTTCAAATGCTGAGCCTCCTAATTTATGGGTGCCTGTGGTAAACAAGCTGGTTAATATGTTTTGCAATAGTTGTTGGTTTAGGTTTTTTTTTTTTTTTCCTGGAAAGGATGCTGCTTGATGAAGATCTCAGAGCATAAATGCCTGAGTCCTCACAGGCTCGGTGCTTTCTGGTCTGAAACATCCCTGCAGAGTGCACACAAAATGTAAATTATTAAAATTAATTAAGTTATTAGAGCAGCCACTCGCTCTGCTGCCTCATTCCTTTGAGTGCAGGTGCTGCCAGGGGGAATGGGAAGATAGCCCAGTGGTTTTGCTTTCTGTTATTCTGAACTGTTTTTATTCCTATTTATACTATAAATGCATAAAAAGGAGGTTACCTGAAGACCAGTCCTGAAACAAAAATATTATATATGTGGATAATGGATTTTAATCTGTATGCCTCCAAAAAGAAATAAATCTGATTACTTTACTGTTGGATCTAAACCAGAAGTCAGTTCTCTGAAGTAAAAATTACAGCCCTGTAAAAGGACAGACAAGGATAATCACAAAATCACTAGCTGTGCTCTTGGCCTCCTCTCAGACACAAAAATATCCAAATGTTTTGGATAACACTGGTGTAATAGAACACAACCTAACACTTTATAGGTAGATGAAGACACCACAGCTTTCTTAGCAGCAATATATCAAATAAAGCTATTTTCAGCACCATTTACCACAGCCACGCTGCTGACACCTTTACTGATATATTGCCTCTGGCCTTAGAGATGAATTAAAAGGAAACTAAGTAATTCAAAGAAACTAGAAAATTTACAGATATTCTAATTATCTTTTTTCTTTGCCTTTGGGTATTTCTTTGCAGGTTGTGACCACGTGCTTGCAGGCATTAGGTCCCTAAAGGTGGTTAAGAAGACTGGAGGAAAGCACGGCTCCTGGATGAAAGATCCCGGCAGAAAGCACGCCAAGATTTACTTATTGAGCGGCTCTGTAAATAACGTGTTTTGGGAATTTGCAAACATCATGGCTTTCATGGAAAGCAACCAGACCCTGAAGGCTCGCAGAGTCCCCTTGCCACTGCCCTGGGAAGGAACTGGCCACGTCATCCACCAGGGTTTCCTCTTCTACCACAGACACGGCTCCTTGAACGAGATCATCAAATTCCACATCCAGAGAAGAAGCGTCGCCCACCAGATGCTGCTGCCGGGGGCTGGGAGGATTCCTGCCTACCAGCTCTCTCCACAGACAAAAATAGACCTGGCTGTGGATGAGCAGGGGCTGTGGGCCCTCCACGCAGAGCCAGAGACCGGGGGAAACATCGTCATCACCAAAATCAACCCCGCGGCCATGGCGGTGGAGCACAGCTGGGACTCGCCCTGCAGCAGCGAGGGTGCTGAGGCAGCTTTCATGGCCTGCAACGCCCTCCACGTGGTCTACAACTCTCCTTCTGGAGGCTCCTCCCGCATCCAGTGCGTTTATGATGTTCTGGGAGCTCCAGGTGTCCCCCTAAAGCCAGGACTGCATTTCCCGAAGCGCCAGGGCGGCCACTCCAGCGTGCACTACAATCCGAAGGAAAGGCAGCTCTTTGCTTGGGGTGATGGATCCCAGATCGTTTACAAGCTTCACACCGAGCAAAAAGCTTAGGAATCTTTAAAACAAAAAGTTAAAACCTTCAGCAGCTTTTCAAGTAGATCTGAAAGCCACCAGTCCCAGGCCAACACAGCCATTAATGTGTTTTAAAATTACATTATTCCCATCTGTTACAACTTTCATCCATTTTACATAACTTAAGGATTATGTACCCCAGTAATCTTAATTCTGAATTGAGAATATATGAAGATTCCATTAATATAAATACCGCACGTGCACAAGCTCCCTACCCCCACCCCCCAAGGCACAAATTAAAGTCTAAGGTTAATTTAAAAAAAAAAAAATACCCCATTTCTGACAGGTTCTCCTCCTACTGAAAATGTTTTCTGCTTCAACACCATGGATATTGAATCAGAAATCCTTCCTGTCCAAAACAGTTTGACAACCTTCACAGCTCTGAAGATCACAGAAATCCTTCTGGCGAGCAATATGAAATCAAACACTTTCAGGACACTAGCTAGAAGTTTTAACAGGAGAGGTTCATTATCCCACAAAATGTAGGAATAGACACCCCCACAAACATGGCTTACATTTAACATAAAACTCATTAAACCTGTTCCTATTCATTGAACTTCTAGAGTTCATGGAAACTCCACATTTCTTATCCACGTAGCTGTATCCACTGTTGATCCTGCCAGATATTCACTTTTATCAGCTCCAAGTTGCCACTTCTCAGCATTTTTTTGAGCAGACCACTGTTAGTGTGTCAGAAGGAATGTTCTAGGTGAGCTGCTCTGTATCACACACTGCTTTTAAAGGCTCTGCATGTCACCCTTAGGTGGTTTTCTCATCAGGTCTCTTTCAGCACCTACCTGTGAGGCATTTTCCCCAATGTTTCAAGTCACTTTTGTTGATTATAGCAGCTTTCTCATCCTATCCTCCAGGAAAAGGTGGCTCAGATGAGTGCAACAGGTGAGGGCATGGCACTGCTCAGCCCTGGGTTTGAGAGTCACAGATAAACCCCAGGTGTTTTTGTCTCAAAAATAATGTTAAATAATATTAAAAAAAAAATATACTGTGAAATACAGGTATAGACTATTTTTTATATATTTTAATGACAGCTGCATTTGTCTAATAGCAAACAAACAAGGAAACACACCAAAAAAATTCCTCTCCCCCCAAAAAACCACAAATAATGGTGCTTAAAAAGCAATCCACAGCTTTTCCTACATCCTACAGAAAACCCAGTGTGTTCATTACACTGAGAGAGCTGCTGTTCTGCTTAAAAATATCTTCCAGAAAGCAGCCAAACATCAGGGAATGGTTCTGAAAAGGAGTTCCAGAGCACAATTAGGAGTGTACAGAGTGCTGGGCTGCACCAGTGCTACTCTGCCTTCAGCAAAAGGAACTTCATCAGTCCAAGCCCTCTAATTAGTGAGTGGAGCTCTGTTTCTGTGTCACTGCAGACACAGGAGGCACAGCCACAGCCATCCTGGGGCTGGAAGGGAGGTGGGCTGCCACTGTGGGACCCTGGGATAAAGGCAATACTTGCCCCTTTTATTCCTCATCTGTAAAATTACAAAATGCAAAATGGCATCAGCCACCTCTGGAATGCTGTGAGAACTTCTACTGGGAAGGATGTGTGACTCTCTTTATTTAAGAAATAAAGCCTCTGGATGTAAATATGGGTTGAGTCTGCTTTTTAGGAAAGGGGTTCTTGGGATGTGGGTGTGTGCCACGTGATTGCAGAGCAGAGAAAGCCCACACCGCTGTTCCAGAGAAAGATTTTAATGTGAAATCCTCAAAAGTTTGGGCAGGGTCATGTCCCTGCATGCTCCTGTGCATGGAGCCCCAGGGGACAGGGCAGGACAGGAGCTGGCATCCTCTGGGCCGCTGTGCCAGCACCACACCAGGAATCTGTGGGAGACCACTGAGGAAAGCTCCTCACTCCTGGAGGTGGAGGCAGGGGAGCATTTTCCAGTCTGAGCTTGGCCTTTGCTCTATTTTATAGTTTTAGGATGAACTTTCCAGCTGCTTTGGTTTCTCCCACTCTCCGTGGGTATTTTGGGTCCCATTCCCGCGCTCATCCGGGAGTTTCACCGCGGACATTTCACCACGGCTGGGACCAAGACAAAAAGCACCTCCTCTCACCTCAGCACTGCTCCCACTCTTGCTGGAGCAGAGCACAGAGCAGGCTGCTGGTCCTGCAGCACGGAACAGGCTGGGGAACGGGCTGTGGGTTGGGGCAGCACACGGATTTCCTGGGCTGCAGCGTCTCTGGGCTTGCAGCATCGCTGACACAGCTGAGGGAGTCACGTCTGTGGGTATGGTCTGCTCTGCTGATCAGGGAACGTCCTTGTAAGAAAAGGACAGCAGCCATTCTCCTCCAGCTTCCTGCTGATGTCTTGAATAGATGTATTCATGATAAATGTATGATTTCATTAATTTTCGTAAGTGATAGCACACAAGCAGATTATTTTTGAGAAAGTCAGAAGAGACATTTGGTTAACTCCCAGATGACAAAGGGCAAAAAATAAAAGACTGTCTGTTCAGCAGCTGAAAGGAAAGAATGACAAATATCTGAACTGAATAATCTGCTCCAAGACAGCAGTCTCCAAAAGGCGAGGACAAAGGACTGTCAGGAGCAGGAGACAGCCATGACAAGACTGCATGAAAGAGGGCATTGACTTCCAGTGCAGGTAGATGCTCTGATTGTTACCATGGAAATGGAATTGCTACAAGGGGATGAACACAGAGGAGTCTTCATGAGGAACAAAAAGACCGCAAATGAGTTTATGACCTCTACCTTCACCATCTAGATAGCATCCATTACTCTCCTTGTTATTCAAGTCCTTTTATGCTGCACTTTCTCCATGTGCTCATTTCTCCTGAGCCACTGGCTTTTGGCTGCTTCAGGTCCTCACCCTCCTCTAGAGGGGAATTCTACACCCTCTGCTCTGACAGCAGGATCATTACCCTCCCAACAAAAGCAGCCCTCCTCGGAGCTCTGGCTGGGATGGAATCCCTCTCCTCCTCACTGGCACTACAGTCACCTCATCCTTTTCCTGCACAAAGTCCTGACTGCCCCTTGCCACGGTGGCCTCCAGTGACAGATGCTCCTCATTCCCCCTGCCCTCCATTCCTTCTGCCAGCTCTTCCACAGAAAGGTGGCTCAGGTCAGGGTAATCTGCAATGATTGCACCCTGTTTGCACTTGGAGCAGTCAGAATTACCACAGACAGAAAGGTTTTCTGCTTTCTCCGTTAATTGACACCCGTGTGATGGATTTAAGCTTTCTGTGCTTTCTTATTTGGGTTTTGTGGGTACCAAGGACCACAGCAACTTACCAGAAGAGCAGAGTGATGCTGGGAGCATGCCAGTTTAACTGGGCTTATTTTTACAGTGCCCATCAGAGATAAGCTTTGTTTGTCAGAAAATAACCTTCCTGTCTCTTGCTCTTCTTCATTCCCACCTGGATCTGGAGGATGAGAGCCCCTTTTAGTATTCACCCAAGCAGCCCCCATATCAGAAAAACACACACTAAATGTTTGTAACAGGAGAGTTTATCACTAAAAAATGCAGCTGCTGCCTGCCTGCTGTCTCCCTGCTCTGTCACCACACATGTTTTTCCCCCTGTGCTGTTTCCCAGCCAGCTGCAGGACACAGAAGTTGCGAAACCAAAACAATTAAAATACAGCTCTCCTAATACTGAAGGAACAGCTCCTCCTGAAGGCAGAAATCAGGACCTGTGGCTTTTCCAGTTGGTTGGAATTTTCTGTGGGTTTGCATATAAGAAGGCAACATTTTATTAGACTTCCACCATACTTTTTTTTCCCAGAAAAAGGAATGTACTGAATCCCAGCATCAGTAAAGCTGGAAAAGATCTCTGAGTCCAAACTTTGACCAGGTGCCACGACACCTCCAGGGATGGAGGCTCCCCCACCTCCCTGGGCAGCCCCTTCCAGTGTCCAGCCACCTTTCTGTTGGTGATATCTGGATATTGCTGCCTTCTTCCCTGCTGCTCCTGCTGGCAACGTAAACCATGGATGTCATTTGTTTGGGAATTTGTTATTGTAAAATTTATCAAAAAGCCCTTGTTACTTTAAATCCCTGTTAAAAATAATTTGGAGCAGGTAAAAACTTGATGTGGAAAAGGTTAATAAAAGAACATTTTTAACTGTTCCCTCTGCAAATTTCTTGCAGATAACTATCTGCTTTTCCTTCTTATTTAGGGCTGACTTCTCCATGGGACTGACCCCATCCAGTGAGTCAGTTCCCACTCCATGATTACAGGACTGGGGCTCCTCTTTTGGCTTTTTGAGCTGTTACTTAAGAGTAGGAGAACAAAGAGGGGAAAAAAAAATCTGTGGAAAATGTTTTATTTTATAAACCTTTAGAAGTACCTCAAGAAGTAAATACTTCTGAGGTGGCTAATTTTTGAGAGCTGCTACAGACTCTGACCTGGTTTTTTATTTCCCAAAGCTATCTTCATTCAACTAATCTGAAAACTAATGCTGAAAAGATAGGGAATTTTTGGGAGCAGCTGTAGAAATACCCACTTTAGGATGTGTGCAAAGAAAAATCCTCCTATGTTAAACCTACACAGTCTGTGTAGGTTATTCTGACCTTGGGTAGGGGGAAAAACATGTTTGGATTTACCTGTAACACTCATCTGAATTCAAAATAAAACCACAGCCATGTGAAGTGCTGCTGTCATTTCTGGCTTTACCAGATCAGTTTTTAGGGAGAAATTTCACTCAAACTGTGAACTCAAAAACTTGGTACCCACTGAGGTATTCCCTCACTCCCTGTCATGAGGAGGGCAGTGACATCTCTAATGAACACAGACAGAGGCTCCACTTTTTGCTGCCTTGAGTCCCTGCAGTCAAACCAACAAGTCCAATTTCTCAGTAACAACTCAACTTTTGGCCTGCTCATTTCTATCCAAAATTAATCTGAAAAACAGGCAGAAAAAAAAAAAAAATAAAAGGAAAGGGAGATAACTCAGTGAGGGCAAGAGCAAAGAGCTGCACTTAGGCAGGAATGATTTTCACAGTTCCAGAAGAACCCCAAGCTTCCAAACAAATATTGCAATGCAGTAAATCAGAGAAGAGCTGGTTCCCCACCTCACCCATGGACAGAAATAAATCAAACTGCACTCAGGTTGGACACTGGACAATTGTCTGTCTGCAAGGCCCTGGCACAGACCTGCTGACCCCAGAAATTTCCAGTGACAGAGGACTAACAATTTCCACTGGCTTGAGCAACCTTGCATTTTGTCAGGGGATTGATTGTTGCAGACAGGTAGAGATAGTATAAAAGAAGGGCCTTATAAAATATGGTTCATATGCTGTTCTAGCTAAAAATCATAAGAATGAAGGCAGTTAACACAACAACCTGTTCTTGGAGAGAAAAATAAGTTGCACCTGTGATAGCAAAAGGTCTGTCTCATGAGAATCCACAAAAAAAATATGTAAACATCTATAAATAGAAGTCTCAACACATCCACACCTTTAAACAATGAATTTAGTGGCAAGGAAACTTCTGGTCAATGGGAGTTAAGCATAAAAAACTGTATAAAAGTGAGTTCTGTGAATAAAGAATTGGCTTTTCTAGAGCAATCTTTCTGTATTTGTACATGGGACACTCTGGCTGTGTGATCTGATGTGGCACTCATTTGCCTTTGAAATATGATTGGCATAAAATCATTGAAAAATGGAACATTTTATAGCTCTTATCTGGGTCCCTTTTCCTTTATTTGTGATACCTGAGGTTAGAAATAATATTTTCATTAGGACATCCAAGTAAACATCCCTTTAATAGAGGATTATTGCACTAGCTTGTTCTGTGACCTCAGTGTTAGCCACAATTTTCTTATTCTTAATTAGCAGGAAAAGGAAAGACTCCAACATGTGAACATTAATTGCCAATGCAATGAGTTAGATCATGAACTTCTTATATATTTTTCTTTGCTAGAATTAATCCTCTATATAGAATTTTTTGGGAGCAGGACTGGTCTTGTATTTTGTACTTCTCATGTAATTCCTGAAACTCTTTATAATTATTAACAAATACCCAGGCAGAATTAAGTGATTTTGTGGGCTTTTTCAATATAG